GTGGAGTGGAGGGTCTCCAGCGGCAGCCCGCAGCCCTCGGCATGGAAGCACAGCTCCAGGCTCTGGGGAGGAGGACGCTGTCAGCTGGCACCCAAACGCTCATCCCTGCTGGGCACACCTCCCCGACCCCCCCAGGACCTTCAGGGCACAATGCAGCTTCTTGTAGCGCTGGGTCGTGGCAACCTGCTGCCCCGCAGCCGCCGACAGCACGGCCAAGGTGTGATGCCAGAGGAGAGCGAGGAGGCTAGTGGGGGGAGGAAGGCTGTCAGTGGGGGTCCAGGGGGCTTCAGGCCTCAGCCAAGGGGCTTTGCAAAGCCTCATGAGCCTCAAAACTGGTTCATCCCATGGGGCTGGGCAGCCAGCCCCAAAGCAGGATGTCCCCAAGCCTTGTGGGGCTGGGGGGGACGTTCCTGCCGAGGAACAGTGACACCACTTCCCCCTGCTGTGGTGCACCCCCAGGGTCCGGGGCACCTTTTGAAGTTCTCCTGGACCAGATGCTCGTTGAGATACTGCAGCTCCGACTCCAGGAACTTCATGAGCGGGATGATGGACTGCAGAGAGAGGAGAGGGGCGTTGGGGAGGGCACGGAGGGGGTCGTACCCAGCAGGGCACAGTGGGCAGAGAGTCAGAGCACAGCTGGCTGGAGCCAGCAGGGCCGGGAAGGGTCCCAAGGGGCTCCCTCCTGCAGCGAGGACACGCGCAGGCTGTGCCCGTTCTGGTCCTGCTGCTGACATGGGTGTCAAACAAAGCATAAGGAGGTCTGGGCCCCATCGCTGGTGTGTCCTGTGCCCCAGGCATGGGGCAAGGAGAGTTGGGGAAGGGTGATGGGGGCCTCCACCAAGCAGGTATGGGTTATTCACAGCTGCCCAAAAAAGATGGCCCTGGTACTTACATCTTCAGGCTCCCGAGTGTCATTGGAAGATGAGAGCTCCTGGATGTGCCTGGCAATGCCCTTTTCCAGCTGCCAGGGAGAAATGCACAGAGGCACTTGGCATTTGCCCTCTGCACCAGCGTCCTCGTGCCCAGGTCCACCTTGTCTCCATCCCAGGAGCACTGTGGGCTCCAGGACCCCTTAGGTGAAACCTCTCCGCCTTGGGCCAGGGGACAAGGCAGGTCAGTGGCAGGTGGTCACCTTGGTGGCCAGGGCTTGCACCACATCCCGGACCTCATGGTCCAGGCAGGAGACAGCACTGTCCAGCTGGTTGTGCAGCGTGTGCTGGATCTGCTGCTGGTCGATGATGGCCCCCGTGCGCTGCTCCAGCTGGGCCCAGTCCAGCTGTGATGGCAGCTTCAGGATCAGCAGTCGCAGCTGCTTGATGTTGTTCACCACGATGCAGAGCTGGGAGAGGTGGGTCTGCTTCAGCGTGTCCCACATCCCCACCAGCTCCATTCCCATCCCCATCCCCATCCTCATTCCCACCCTAGTCCCCCTACTCAGGGGTCAACTGGTCCCCATGAAAGCCAGGCTCGGGACGTCAGCTGGGTGCTCAGCAGCTCATCTCCCTCTCTTCCCCAAAACCATGGCCAAATCCTGCCTCTCCCTCAGCAGTGGACCCTGCCCTGACACCCACCCTGTTGGCTGCTTCGCCCTCGTTCTGCTCGCTCAGCGACAGAGCCTCAGCCCTCTCCTTGATGAGCCGGCAGTACATCAGGGCGATTTTGCACATGTCCTGCAGGAGAGAGGAGAAGCCAACGGGACTCAGCAGGGCAGCACGGGGGCCACTGTGGTGCCAGGTGACCCCACCACACCAGCATGAGACGCTGGCCTCATGGAGGCCATTCATGGAGATTGTCCTCATGGCCATTCTCCTTATTCATGGAGAGATGGCTCCAAGAGCAGGAGAGGAAACTCCAGCTGCTTCTCATGAACATGGCATCCGATGGCAGGGCCCGGTGTACAAACCTCCACGAGCTTCACCATGATCATAAAGGCTTCCTCAGGGTCCGGCCAGTTGAGCTGCTGCCAGGTCTTCACGATCTGGGCGTAGCAGGTGGACAGGTCGACGGTGGACGTGCTGTGCTTGTTGTGCTCCCCAAAGGGTGTCAGCTGGGAGGGTGGAGAAAGCAAATGCGACTTGGCTTGTACGGAAAGGAGCCATCCCAGACAGGAGAGCTGCTCCTTTACTTTGGGGCACTCTGACCCATCACCAGCTCCATACATCCCAATGTCATCACCCAGTCACTTTGGAGAGTGGAGATGAGGATGGATGGAGTGTCCTGAGCTCCCCACATCAGGCTGTGCCCCATCGTACCCTAACCCAGTGCTGCTCGACCATACTGAAGAAGGGGGTCAAGGAGTTCACGGCCCCGTGACTGTCTTCCCTGCCCTCTTCCTAAAGGTTATAAGTGAAGGAGATGCCCTCAGAATGGTCCAAGCATGGGCTCATCAGCTCGCTCAGGCTGCCAGAGAGCAGCAAGGGAAGGGGCAGGGGCATGTGGTGTGGGGCCAGGGTGGGATCAACTGGTTCAGGAGACCACATCCTTTGTTATGCATTTGGGAGAAGAACTAGCCTGCTCCTGGGCTGCAAGAAGCACGTACGTGGTGGTCTCAACACTGTGAGCCAGACACAGCAGCAAGGCATGGAGGGAGTCGGAGTGTCCCCAAAGGACAGAGGGAGATGTTCCCCTCCCTGGGTTACCTGGTCCATCTGGACGGCTCTCTGTGCCCTCTCCAGCGCGATGGTGTATGCCTTCTGCAGCCACTGAGGCACAGCTTCCTTGAACCACTGGTGGAAACTGCTCAGAGCCAGAGGTCCATCCCTGTGGACGAGAGCATCAGCTTCTCCAACTGCACAGTGATGGCATGGGGCCATCACCCCTCCTTGCTGTCACAGACAAGAAACTCTGCCTCAAGGCAGAGGCAGCCTGTAGCAACACATTAAGGAGAAACCTCCACTTGTCTGGAAATTGAGGTCTCCATCAGCGCCTCTCAGAGATGAGCCTGAAACCCGCTGGTGGTGCTCACATCACCACCAGACACCAACAGCCTGCTCTGCCTGCCGTGGGTGTAATTAGTGATGGAGGTGAATGGGAAGGGTCTGGAGTTCCTCTGAATTGACCTCTCGTTCCCCTGTCTGGCATCTCCCCTCTCTCCGGGTCGGTACCTCTTTGGGAGGAAGTCCTTCATCCGATAGAGCTCCTGCAGGTTCAGGTAGAGCTGGAAAAGGCTCTCAGCCGTGGGCTTGGACATGCTGCTGTCGACCTCGCGCAGCTGCTCCTGGACGTGCTCTGCGACCTGGCGGTGACCAAGGGAAGGGGGGACAGCTGTCAGCGAGGGTCTGGCTGGGACGGCTTGGTCTGCTGGGGGGGCTCTGCAGCCACAGGGTAAGGGTCAGCTGAGGGGATTCCTCTTCCTTTCGGGTGGCATTTCAGGAGATTCATTGGGTCAAGTCAACAGATGACAGCCACTTTATGGGCATACAGGGAAAGACAGACAGTTTCCATGGCTTGCTCACTTTCCAGGCTTGCAACAACCACTTGACACCTGAAGGGTGGCCAAAAATCTCAGCCTGGCTTCAGACATTAGTCCCACCAGTGCAGAGCAGCCCGGGCTTGCTCACCAGGCTCTCCAGCTCCAGGTAGGCGATGGAGAAGATATCCAACTTCAAGGCGCTGCAAGAGAGGAACAGGGAGTCAGGACCCTGATAGCAAGCCCTCCCAGGCCACGACCTCATCATAAGGCTGAGGACAACACAGCTCTAAGAGGCAGAGATTGGACCACAGGGGCTCTGCTGGATCCCAAGAGTTAAGGAATGAGGCACCAAAGCGCCCTGTTGCTCTAGGCCCAGGGAAGGTGAATGAGGAGAGATCAAGGTCCAAAACCTACTTCATGAAGAATTTATTCCAGATTTTCTGGCACTGCTGAAGATCTCCTATCACCTCCACAAGCAGTCTGGACAAGGCTTTACCATTCTCCTCCATGGTCTGCAAAGGAAGGAACAGCTCATTTTGGATGCTCAGTGATTTTGAGATGACCTGGGCTCCGTTTTGATCTGATTTATTTCTATGATTTGTTTTTGTGGGGCAGTAATCTATTATTAGATCCACGTTAGGAGCACCAAGAAGTTGTCAGTAACATCCATTGTCACCATGTGCTTGCGTGGCTGGGGACCACCTCCTGTTCTCCTGAGCATCGCATCAAGGCCTTAAGCTTCAATGCAACTCAGCAGCTGCAGGTAACATGGCTCATGGTGTTTTAAGCTGGAAACCCAAATGCCTTAACTGTATCAGAAAACTGGAGAAGTCTTATCTCAGCCTTGTCTTCCCACCACCTCGGGCCTCCCACCCCAAGTCCAGCAAATTGATTCCTATAACGTCAGAGTCAGAGATGGGAACTGACCTTCACCATGGGCTTGAGGTGCTGCTTCTTCATGTGAAACCACTCTGTCGTGCCTGACTGCAAGAGAGGAGTCCTGGTGTGACAGCAGGGAAGCAGGAGGAGCAAAGCCAGCTCTGTCACCCCTTCACTCTCCCTGTCCCCTGGGAGTGGTCAGGACCCGGCTCCATGTGGTGGGAATCATAGGCTGGGATCACCAGGTTGAAGAGGGGTAGGTATTTCCCCCCACACCATGGTGGTCCGTGTGGCTTTGCTGAGGTGTGGGCATTGGGCAGGGGATGGAGGGGAAGGGAGAGCCACAGGGTTGCACCTCCCTAGGGCTGGGAAGGGCAAGACCCCTCCCCAGTCCCAGTACCTTGAGCGCTGTGGAGACCATCTGGGGGAGGTTGGGGCTGAGCGTGCACAGCTCATGGAACGCTTTCATTTTGCACATCTGGACCAGGACCCTGCAAAGTGAGAACCACTGGTGAAACCCGGCACCAGCTGGGCAGAAACAGCTGCTCTTTCCCCAGAGACCCTACCCAAACAGATCTTCCCTTCACAGAATCACAGAATGTCAGGTATTGGAAGGGTCCTCAAAGGATCATCTAGTCCAATCCCCCTGCCGGAGCAGGACCACCTAGATCAGATCACACAAGAACGCGTCCAGGCGGGTTTTGAACATGTCCAGAGAAGGAGACTCCACAACCGCTCTGGGCAGCCTGTTCCAGTGTTCTGTTACCCTTACTGGGAAGAACTTCTTCCTCATGTTTAAGCGGAACCTCCTATGTTCCAGCTTATATCCATTTCCCCTTGTCCTATCATTGGATGCCACTGAGAAGAGCCTGGCTCCATCCTCATGACAGTCACCCTTTACATATTTATAAACATTAATGAGGTCCCCCCTCAGTCTCCTCCAAGCTAAAGAGACCCAGCTCCCTCAGCCTTTCCTCATAAGGGAGATGCTCCACTCCCTTCATCATCTTTGTGGCCCTGCGCTGGACTCTCTCAAGCAGTTCCTTGTCCTTCCCAACAACGTCCATCCCCCATGGGGAGCCCAGGACGAGGGACAGGACAGGACAAGTGTCACAGCAGCCTAGAAGGGGGCAGAAAGGGCTCACGCGGGTTTTTGTCAAGCGTACAGGCTTTTCCGTCACGGTGGCCAAGCCATAGGACCCCGGTGCTCGACTCACCGGAGCAGAGACTGGAGCCTCTCCGTGGACCTTGGGACAGAGAGGGGGAAAATGATGCGGTACCTCCGGACGAGGGAGATCCCATAAATCAGCAAGGACTGGAAGGACTCGGCCAGCTCTGCTTTCTGGGCACAAGGAAGGAAACACATGCGGT